GGGCACTAGACGAGCAGACGGGCACTAGACGAGCACTAGACGGGCACTAGACGAGCACTAGACGGGCGCTAGACAAGCGGACGGGCGCTAGACGAGCACTAGACGGGCAGCACTAGACGAGCACTAGACGAGCACTAGACGGGGACGAGCACTAGACACTGGCAACTAGACGGGCACTAGACGGGCACTTAGACATCGGCTAGAGACGAGCACTAGACGAGCACTAGAACGGGCACTCGAACGGGCGCTAGACGAGAACGAGACACTAAACAGTGCAATTGTAGACGAGCACTAGAGACCAGCACTAGACGAGCACTAGACGAGCACTAGACGGGCACTAGACGAGCACTAGGGCACTAGACGAGCGCTAGACGGGCGCTAGACGAGCACGCTAGACGGGCACTAGACGAGCACTAGACGAGCACTAGACGAGCACTAGACGGGCTAGACGAGCACTAGACGAGCACTAGACGAGCACTAGACGGGCACTAGACCAGCACTAGACGAGCACTACACGGGCACTAGACGGGCACTAGACGGGCACTAGACGAGCACTAGACGAGCACTAGACGAGCACTAGACGGGCACTAGAGCGCTAGACGGGCACTAGACGAGCACTAGACGGACACTAGACGAGCGCTAGACGGGCACAGACGAGCGCCAGACGGGCGCTAGACGGGCGCTAGACGAGCACTAGACGAGCGCTGGACGAGCGCTAGACGAGAACTAGACACTAGACAGAGCACTAGACGAGCACTAGACGAGCACTAGACGGGCACTAGACGAGCACTAGACGGGCACTAGACGAGCACCAGACGGGCACTAGGCGAGCACTAGACGAGCACTAGACGAACACTAGACGGGCACTAGACGAGCACTGGACGAGCAGTAATGAGCACTAGACGGGGACGAGCATTAGACGAGCACTAGACGAGCACTAGACGAGCACTGGACGGGCACTGGACGAGCACTAGACGGGCACCAGACGAGGCGAGCGCTAGACGGGCACTAGACGAGCACTAGACGGGCACTAGACGAGCACTAGACGGGCGCTAGACGAGCGCTAGACGGGCACTAGACGAGCACTAGACGAGCACTAGACGGGCACTAGACGAGCACTAGACGGGCACTAGACGAGCACTAGACGGGCACTAGACGAGCACTAGACGGGCACTAGACGAGCGCTAGACGGGCACTAGACGAGCACTAGACGGGCACTAGACGAGCACTAGACGGGCACTAGACGAGCACTAGACGGGCACTAGACGAGCACTAGACGCACTAGAGCGCTAGACGGGCACTAGACGAGCGCTAGACGGGCGCCAGACGAGCACTAGACGGGCACTAGAGGAGCACTAGACGAGCACTAGACGGGCACTGGACGAGCGCTGGGAGCGCCAGAAGGCTCTAGGGAGGGCACAACCCCGGAAATTCCCGGAAAATTTCCGGGGATAGAAGAGCTCTAGACGGGCGCTGGACGGAGCACTAGACGAGCACTAGGTGGAGCACTAGACGAGCGCTAGACGAGCGCGAGACGAGCGCCAGACGAGCACTAGACAAGCACTAGACAAGAGGCTCTAGGGAGGGCACAACGCCGGAAATTTCCGGAAAATTTCCGGGGATAGAAGAGAGACGGGCGCTGGACGCAGCACTGGACGAGCGCTAGATGGAGCACTAGACGAGCGCTAGACGAGCGCTAGACGAGCACCAGACGAGCACTAGACAGGCTGTCTAGTGCTCGTCTAGTGCTCGTTTAGTGCCCGTCAATTTCCAGGCCAGGCCCAAAATGTTCCTTTTGGAGCTCCAAATGGCGAACTCTTTCCGTTTCAGCAAAAATGTGTAATTTTTATATAAACTCTAGTAAAGAACGGTCATTTCCAGGGTCAGCTCCAAAATGTCGCTTTTGGAGCTCCAAATCACAAATTCTTTGCATTTGAGCCAAGAGACTTGCCATTTCCATGGCCGGCTCCAAAATGTCGCTTTTGGAGCTCCAAATGGGAACTTCTCTACATTTGAGCCAAAATGTGTCCAAACCTAAAAACTATAAACCTAAATCCTAAACCTAAAATCCTAAGCCGAAATCCGAAACCTAAACCCTAAACCTAAACTCCTATATCTAAAAACCCTAAGCCTAAATCCTAAACCTAAACCGAACCTAAATCCTGAACCTAAATCCTAGACCTAAATCCGTGGCCTCTCAAAGGCACCCCGCCAGCAGGAACCCTAAAAGACCCGCCAGCAGGAACCCTAAACGGCGCCCCGCCAGCAGGAACCCGGAAAGACATCCCCCCAGCAGGAACCCTAAAAGGAATCCCGCCAGCAGGAACACTAAAAGGCGCCAACCCTAAACCTAAATCCTAAACCTAAAAACCCTAAGCCCAAATCCTAGACCTCAAAACCCAAAACCTAAATCCTAAACCTAAATCCTAAACCTAAAAACCCTAGGCCTAAATCCTAAACCTAAACCTACATCCTAAACCTAAAAACCATAAAACCTCAA